ACTAAATAAAAAAACACCGTCACACCTTTTTTGTAAAAGCGGTCACGCCTTTGGCTAAAACTGTCCGCATTTGCTTTTCCATAAAATAATATATTTTATGATGGAGGGGCCGCGGGCCCGCGGCAGAGGCCGCGGACAGCACTGTAGCTGTAGGAGAGTCGACTGCCGCCCTGTATAGCTTATTGCGTATCCCTCTACAAAAAAGCTGCGACGGTGTATCATTCACGTATCTGCGGACAGCCTGACAGAGCAGAGCCTGACAGGCGAGGTGACCCGTCGCTGTCAGGCCCTAACGTGACAGCCTGACAGAGCTGCCTGACAGCCCGACAGCACACAGTGGCCTGACAGCAGCGCTGACAGCCTGACAGCAGCACAGACCGTACACAGACCCCGTAGAGCCTCTTTCTTGTGCCCCATGAGGGTATAACAAAGTTACATGCAAAGACATGCACATGTACATGTGCATGTGAGTGTGGTCCATGTAGTCATGGGATGGTCATGGGTCTCTCTTTCAACCCTCCCGCCCCACCTCTGCGGACCCCTCTCCAGCACCGGCGGCTGTGCTACTACAAATGAAGCTACCAGCTAGCCTTCTGGGGCCCTACAGTCATATGCCTACGGCGTCTGGGTGGGGGTGGCCGCCGCCGTCTGTGCCGCCGCCGCCGCCTGTGCCTCTGCGCCGCCATCTGCGCTCCCCAGGCGGCCGCCGCCGCCGGCGTGATCACGCCGTGTAGGAGGGGGGGTAGCTGCGTAGCCGCCGGCGTCATCGGCGTCAGCACCCCCTTGATAGTCAGCGCCCTCTTGATAGTGTCATAAGTGTGGCTGATGTGTATCAGAGCCTGACAGCACCCCGACAGCACCACCTGACAGCACCTGACAGCAACAGCCCAACGTCTAACAGCAGCAGCAGCCTGACAGCTCTGACAGCTCCGACAGCGTCTGACAGCAACACCCGACAGCTCCGACAGCACCCGACAGCTACAGATCACCTCGCCTGTCAGACACGCACCCGACAGCACCTGACAGCACTGACAGCACCTGACAGCTGGTCTGACAGAGGCACCTGACAGTGCCTGACAGTGCCCGACAGCCCGACAGTTCACCTGACAGCACCTGACAGCCTGACAGCCAGGGCTCAGGGAGATGCATCCGGTTTGGAACTGCATGCGCACCTCAACCTCTCACAGGCCAGCGCACAGCGCCATAGGAGGTATTTTCTTCTCAATAACAAGGCTGTGAACGCTATCCCATGCAGCAGGGTCGACGGCCAGAGAGAGCGCGCATGAGCAGCCGAAACTTCTGGCCATGTCCATCTCCACGTCCTTTCGCCACCAGGCCGAGTGCAGCGGGCTGCATCCTGACCGTTCGCTCTGCCCCTACTGTGGCGCGAGAAAGCGAATGCACGTCTGCCGCTGGGCGTGGCCGAGCAGCCGAAACAGCAGCAGACCCGTAATCAGTGCGGCAGCGCCTGCAGCTGCCCAGGCACACAGCGGCGGCAGCGTCCGCATCAACCTCTCCGAGCTGCCTGCTTTGCCCGAGGCTGCCGAAACCACATCTGGCCATTCTCCGGTCGAGTCGGGCTGGCTCAGCGACGGGCCTCGCGTTGGGGCGAGGGTGCTGCGGCGCCTCAAGGGCCACGGCTACGTCCACGCCGTTGTGCGCCTCTACTTGCCGGCGGGCGCGGATGACGAGCCCGCGCTTTGGCGCATCCGGCATGCGGACGGGGACGAAGAGGATCTGGTGCGCACACCCAGCCTCATCGCCGTCAGCACCGCCTCGTCGCAGCACCGCCCCTCGGCACCGACTGTGCCTCACCCTCCCCTCGCACAGGAGGAGTACGAGCTGCTCGAGGCGCTGCAGCGCTTCGCCGGCCGTGCGGGCAGGGCCAGGGCGGCGGCGGAGGCGGCGGGTGGACACGCGCGGGTGGCGGGGCAGGCGGAGACGTCGAGCTCGGGAGGGCCAGTGCGGGCGGCAGCGGCGGCAGGGGTTGCGGAGGACGCGGAGGGAGAGACGGCGGAGGAGGACGCGGAGGAAGGAGAGACGGCGAAGGAGGCGGAGGCGGCGGGCGCGGAGGCGGAGGGGATGGAGGTGGAGCAGGCGGAGGAGGCGGAGGCGGAGGGCTCAGCAGGCGGGGAGAAGGGAGAGACGGCGGAGGAGGACGCGGAGGGAGAGACGGTGGAGGAGGCGGAGGAGGCGGCGGGCTCAGCATGCTCTACCGCCTCGCCGCCGCCTCCGCCGCCTCCGCCGCACAGGGAGGCTGCACCCGCCGCGCCGCTCGCGGCCGAGGCGGAGGGGCTGAGGCTGCACCTCTCCAGCAGCAGCAGTACCGGGTACAAGGGCGTGAGTAAGCACCACTCTGGCCGCTTGAAGGCCGAGCACTGGGTGAACGGAAGGAATGTCCACCTCGGCATCTTCGACACGGCGGTGGAGGCGGCGGTGGCGTACGCGCGGGCAGTCGGCGAGTACCAGCCTCCGGCTTATCCGTCGGTGGCGGCAGAGGCGGAGGGGCTGAAGCTGCACCTCTCGAGCATCACCAGCACCGGGTACAAGGGCGTGTTCCAGCACGCCTCTGGCCGCTACCAGGTTTCGCGCAGGGCGAGGGGAAGGCTGGTCTACTTGGGCATCTTCGACACGGCGGTGGAGGCGGCGGTGGCGTACGCGCGGGCGGTTGGGAAGGCGGAGGCGGCAGGCGCGGCGGCGGCAGTGCCGGCGGAGGCTGCAGGCGCGGTGGCGGCAGTGCCGGCGGAGGAGGGCGACGGAGCAGGCGGCGAGGAGGAGGGCGGCGAGGAGGGCGGCGAGGAGGGCGGGTGGAGCGGTGGCGGCGAGGAGAAGAGCCACTTCCAGGTAGGAGGCCGCGTCGCTGTACAGTACTCTGGCGGCGCCTTGTACCCGGGCGAGGTCGTGGGCTTTGACGGCGCGTCGAGCCTGTACTCGGTGCGGTGCGACGACGGCGAGCTGCTGGAGGACGTCTCGCTGCACGAGATGCTGCGAGAGGTGGGAGAGGGCGAGTGGGAGGAGCAGGAGCGAGCGAGCGGCGAGGGGATGGAGGTGGAGGAGGCGGAGGAGGCGGCGGGCTCAGCATCTACCGCCTCGCCGCCGCCTCCGCCGCCTCCGCCGCACAGGGAGGCTGCACCCGCCGCGCCGCTCGTGACGGAGGCGGAGGGGCTGCGCTTGCACCTCTCCAGCAGCAGCAGCACCGGGTACAAGGGCGTGCGCGCGGACAGGAGCCGCTACCAGGCGCAGCGCAGGGCGGGCGAAAGGAATGTCTACCTCGGCTCCTTCGCCACGGCGGTGGAGGCGGCGGTGGCGTACGCGCGGGCGGTCGGCGAGTACCAGCCTCCGCCTCCTCCGACGGTGGCGGCAGAGGCGGACGGGCTGCGGCTGCACCTCTCCAGCAGCAGCAGCACCGGGTACAAGAGCGTGTACGAGCATGTCTCTGGCCGCTTCAAGGCGCAGCACAGGGCGGGCGAAAGGATGGTCTACTTGGGCATCTTCGACACGGCGGTGGAGGCGGCGGTGGCGTACGCGCGGGCGGTTGGGCAGGCGGAGGCGGCAGGCGCGGCGGCGGCAGTGCCGGCGGAGGCTGCAGGCGCGGTGGCGGCAGTGCCGGCGGAGGAGGGCGACGGAGCAGGCGGCGAGGAGGAGGGCGGCGAGGAGGGCGGCGAGGAGGGCGGGTGGAGCGGTGGCGGCGAGGAGAAGAGCCACTTCCAGGTAGGAGGCCGCGTCGCTGTACAGTACTCTGGCGGCGCCTTGTACCCGGGCGAGGTCGTGGGCTTTGACGGCGCGTCGAGCCTGTACTCGGTGCGGTGCGACGACGGCGAGCTGCTGGAGGACGTCTCGCTGCACGAGATGCTGCGAGAGGTGGGAGAGGGCGAGTGGGAGGAGCAGGAGCGAGCGAGCGGCGAGGGGATGGAGGTGGAGGAGGCGGAGGAGGCGGCGGGCTCCGCATGCTCTACCGCCTCGCCGCCGCCTCCGCCGCCTCCGCCGGACAGGGAGGCTGCACCCGCCGCGCCGCTCGTGACGGAGGCGGAGGGGCTGCGGCTGCACCTCTCCAGCAGCAGCAGCACCGGGTACAAGGGCGTGCGCGCGGACAGGAGCCGCTACCAGGCGCAGCGCAGGGCGGGCGAAAGGAATGTCTACCTCGGCTCCTTCGCCACGGCGGTGGAGGCGGCGGTGGCGTACGCGCGGGCGGTCGGCGAGTACCAGCCTCCGGCTCCTTCGACGGTGGCGACAGAGGCGGAGGGCTTGCGTCTGCACCTCTCGAGCATCACCAGCACCGGGTACAAGGGCGTGCGCGAGAGAGGCGCCCGCTTCACGGCGGAGGCCAGGGCGGGCGAAAGGAATGTCTACCTCGGCTCCTTCGACACCGCGGTGGAGGCGGCGGTGGCGTACGCCCTGTATTCGACATGAACTCAGGGAGTCTTTGTGATTGAACGAAGACCTTTCCGCCGAAAAAGAAAACGGCTCGGCGAGAGCTCAATGTCGGGGAATTCTGACCGGTAGAGGGGGTTACGGGTTAGCGCATAGCGGATTACCGAGATCTGACTCGCTGGTGTACTTCCATCGCGCATCGGCAGGAATCGCTCCCGAGCCCGGTAGGACCACCATTGTCACGCCGCCTCGTGCCAGCACAAGTTGGGCCATGTGCTCGCTACAGATCTACCTGACGCCGTTCTTCGTCGCGGCGGTGGCGGCACCTGCGCTGGCGGGAGGTATTGAGGGGGCGACGGCGCGTCGTCGGAATCTAGCTCAAGGGCGGGAGGATTTCGCCCGACGACTGGGCCGAGGCCACCGACGAGCAGATCCTTGTTGGCTGGAAAGACTAGTGAGTCTGTCCCTTGCCAGGCGTTTGCTCGGCGGTACGTCTTCGGTCCCCGCGGGAAGCCCCGGCCCCCGCGCGGCGGCGCGCAATAGGACAACAACGTCTGTCCCACACACGCTGCAGACGCCCACATGCATATCATGCTCGGGCACCCCCCACAGTGTAGTGTGGTGTGAGCACACAAATACTAGCAGGCAGAGTGCACACCTGCCTTGGCGGGTGAGGGTCGTAAGAATCGGAAAGCCTCTTGGTGCCACAAACGTGCTCAACCTCAAGCGCGCCGAGAAGAGCGGCCGAGACGGTCTACAGACTACACTCTCGAGGTGGAGTTAGCGAAAGTCGCACGGGCAGAGGGGAGACCGAGGCCTCCGGCAGTCCGCGCACAGCCTCAGCGCACAGCCTCGCGGAAGTAATTTTCCGTTCGCCCGTGTCTGTAATATGCCCGCCCGCTCCGACAGAGTGGACAGCCCCTCGTCCGCAGAGCCCGCAGCGCCCGGCTACACGAAGCCGTGTCCACGGGTCGGCGCGGGACCCCCCCCCCCCCCTGTCACACCCTCTCGCCGCCCTCTCCCAACATCGGCTCCCCGAGCGCGCCGCCCGCCCCTCCCCGCCTCCCGCCCCCCGCCAGCTTGCGCGTGGCAACGGCGGACGCGGCCGCCGTCGCCGCCAGGAGCAGCAGCGCGGTGGGCAGCGGCACGACGGTGGCGCGCTCCTCGCCGCCGCCCTCGCCGCCGCCCTCGCCGCAGCGGGCAGAGCCCGCGGCCGCGGGGTCGCAGTCTCGCACCGCGGCGGCACGCAGCAGCGCCTGGCTCCGGACCTCGGGCGCGAGGGGGGGCAGCTTGTCCATGTACGCCACGAGCTGCGCGGTGGAGACAACCTTGGCGACGGCCGCCCGCATCACCTCGATGGCGGGGAAGTGCGTCGGCGTCGCGGTGCCTAGTTGGCAGGGCGGCCCCGGCGGCGGCGCGGGTCACGAGCGCGCGCCGCTCGAGACGTTGCATCCTCGACGTTGGCAGGGCGGGAGGGCGGGTCTCGGCTACGTCTCGCCGATTGCATCCTCGACGACGACGGTGTCGAGGTTGTACTTGTCGACGGCGTCAAAGGCGGTGGCGGCGACGCAATCCTCGCTCCACGCGCCGACAATCACGAGCGTGTCGACGCCGAGCGCGCGCAGTTTGAGCAGAAAGGTGGAGCGGCCTGAGGGGCGCGTCATGGACGCGTCACCGACGGCGTCACGGCGGCGCGGAGGAGGAAGGTGGGGCGGCCGTGCGAGTCGACGTCGGCAAACCTGCGCGGGGCGCACCGGGCGGTGTGAGCGAGCGGCGCGGCGTCGCGGGCGGACGGGAGGGGCGGCGGCGCGCTTCGAGAGGTGCGACGACTTGATCGTGAGCCCGGCCGCGATCTCCTCGCCGGTGGGCGCAATCTCCTTCATCGGGAGCGTGCCGTTCTCCAAGTAGATGTAGGTCGGGTTCTCGCGCGACCGGACGCCGGCGGAGCCGTAGAAGCGGTCCAGCGCGCCGTACAGGCCGTCATCCGGCCGGCGGATCCAGTTGGACGTGAAGACGGGCAGGCCCTTGGAGCGGAAGGACGACTGCAGCGCCGCGATGTTGTCGTTGAGATAGCCCACGTACGGGCGGTAGTCCTCCGTCATGTCCATCGTGAGCAGGCAGATGCGGCGAGGCCGGTCCTCCAGCTCCCACGCGGCAAAGTACTCCGTCTGCAGCGCCGGCTGCAGCCCCGCCTCGGTCGCGACGATGTCGGCTCCGTGGATGGTCCTGACTTTGGCGTCCGTCAGCTTGACGCCGACCGCCTCGGACCACTCCTCCGGCTCCATAGCCGGCGCAAAGGGAGCCGGCTTGGCTCCGTTGGCGAGGAGGTCGCGGACAAAGTGCGAGTCGACGATCGAGGTCGGGCTGCCGTCCACGCCGGGATCGCTGGCGCGGAGCCGCTCTCGCTCGGCGGCGGTGTAGTCGCCGGTCGGCGCCACGGTCTGAGGGAGGTGGAGCCAGTCGTCCTTGGCCGCAGCGTGGGACGGAGGCGAGAGAAGGAGGAGCAGCATGTGTGTATGACAACCAATGTGGTTGCCCGGTGGGGGGGGGTGCAGGGCCGATGCAAATCGGTTGTTTTTCGTGTGTGTACGTACGTCTCGAGAGACGTATGTAGCTCTTCTCTTTTCTCCCAGTAAGCTATAAGTACGTACGAACATACCCGTAGGTGAACTGCTGACAGGGTTTGCGATGAGGAGCGATCCGAACGTGGTATTCGGGTGATTAGATCACTACCACCTTCTCCGATAAGCGAGCCATGTGACATGTGAGCTCTTCACGCTGCTGTCACACAAGCACCTCACTCACGCCAACTGAACCCCTGGTGAGAGCTAGCTCCTAATGATCGCCAGGATCTCCGGAACGATGCAGCTCCAGTTTGTGTGGGAGCGGGCCGAGGGCCCAACAGGAGAATGCTTTTTGGGTTGGGTTGGGTTGTGGGGGTGGGTTGGGTTGTTCCGCGTAAGGTTGGGTCGTCGGCGAGAAGGGTGAGGTCTCGACCGCCGCCGCTCACGCCAGCGGACGGCCACCATCGGTGTTTTTGGCTTCGCCACCGTCCAAAGCGTGCGCAATGCGCTCGCCGGCATCGAGCGAGCACGCCTGTCCGACGAGCGGCTTGCTGTGTGGACGCCTTCTTGTGGCTCTCGCCGAGAGCGTTTTGCGTCCCGGTGGGTGGGAGAATATGTGATAGGAACGAGTGTATCGCTTTGACGGATCGACCGTACTTGTTATCAAGACCGATGTGACGACACAGTGACACATCAGACCACACATATTCTCCCACCCGCCGGGACGCAAAACGCTCTCGATGAAGAAGCTGAGCTGCCGCGCGCCGGTAATGTCGCTGTCCTGGGCCGACCACGCGCCGCCCGAGGCCCGCACCATGCACTGACCAGCAGTGCCCACAAAGCTGCCGCCGTCGCAGAGCAGCTTCTTTGCATACCGGCTGCCGCCCCGCAGCGCCTCCTCGCCCGGAAAGCCCAAATCCACATCTTCGTCCGAGAAGCGGACGCGCATCGGCAGGGAGAGGCGCGCCCCGAGGCGGATAGCCGCACTGAAGATCAGACGTCCAGCCAGGCGTTTCTGGCTCCACGGGGCTCGCCGTATATTGACTCAAGGGACCATGCTGCACGCAGCGGAATTTGCCGCGACACCCGCGCGCAACCCAGAGTGCACGGCTAGAGTTGACATAGTGGCAGCCAAAAAAAACTGTTCAGTTTTCAAAGGCAAAACACGACGCTCTGCGGTTGGTGCACCCCTCACACTGACACATTCCCCTCATCCCTTACCCTTGGCTGAGCACATCTACCTGCGAGCTAGTCTCTCCGCATTCTCTCCCCTAGTCATCCGCCCGCGCCGCGCGCCATCTAATGGGCGTCTAGTGCAGCCACTGACGGCACTATTCCAAAGGAGCGGTCGATGCCTCGCCTAGAGTTCGGGTGGACTTGCGCACTGCTTAGCCCTGAGGGGGGAGTGTGTGTGAGGTGCTAAAATCCTAACTAGAAATTCTTTTTTAACGTGCGACCTCTGACGCGGGCCCAGTACCCAGCCAGTACCTCGATGAGGTGTGACTTGGACCACCAAGAACTGGCTAGGGCTGTGAGACCATGGGTGTGAGGTAAAACCGCGCTGCCAGAGCGCTTGGTCACATCGGCCCTTAGGTAAGACTCTTCTACTCTGTTGATGACAACACTTGTCTACTCGCTGGAGCCGAGCAGGAGGGCCTGGCGCTGCAACCCCCCTGTGCAACTGAGGGTCCTTCCCCTACTTCCCCGACCCCCGCGTACTGTGCACACACCGCACGCGACTAGCACTAGCCACTACGCACTAGGGTGCGTCGACAATAACACAACGGGGTGTGCTTTCGAAAACCGTGTTTTGACCTAGAACACAATGCAATCCTCTCTCGGAGAGCCTGTTCGTCGGAGCTCAAAGACCGCTCGGCTTCCTGGGAAACACCAGTACGTCGACAATCAGACAAGCGGTGCTGCAGTGCCTGCAGCTACTCTACTGGCACTGCGCGCACGGTGCGCTGGCCGCCGCACTCCGCCTCAAGCCACACTCTCCGCCTCCTCCTCCTCTCCCTCCTCCTCTTCGTCCGCCGCCGCAATCTCGACCCCCAGCGACGCGACCATGGCGGCGGGGTCGAGCGGCTCTGTTCGGTGCCCCGCGGCGGGGTAGCCGCACGCGAGGTCCCACGAGAAGTGGTGCAGCCGCTGGTGCATCGCCGTCTCGCGCTTGTCGACGCGGCGCGCGCGGTCCATGTCGACGTTGAAGAGCCGCAGGTAGTTTGCGTTGGCGGCGCGGTCCCACGCGACGATCCGGAAGAGCTCGCGCAGCGCCTAAATAAAGAAGACAAGGCTCGCTGGCATTCCTTTGTCGAAAGCGACGGAAAGTGCTCGCGCAAGCGCCTGTTAAAGAAAACAAGTCTGCTGGCATTTCTTTGTCGAAAGCGACGGTAAGTGCTCGCGCAAGCGCCTGTTAAAGAAAACAAGCCTGCTGGCATTTCTTTGTCGAAAGCGACGGTAAGTGCTCGCGCAAGCGCCTGTTAAAGAAAACAAGCCTGCTGGCATTTCTTTGTCGAAAAGCGACGGTAAGTGCTCGCGCCCCAGCGCCTGTAAAAAAGAAGTCAAGCCTGCGGTCGCTCTTTGTCGACAGCGAGGGTCCGGAAGAGCTCCTGCAGCGCCTCAAGCTTGTGGAGCACGGTCTCGAAGAGCAAGTCCCGCTCGCCTGTTCACAGCTGGAGGTGTGAAGAGACGCTGTTCACAGCTTGTGGAGCGCCGTCTCGAGGAGCAAATCCCGCTCTCCTACACAAAGAGATCAGCAGCTCCGTATTTCTTTTCTTAGCCCGAGGAGCACCGGCTCTGTCGCCCTTCGCGTCGCTCTGCCGCATCCACGACGGGAGAGAGTAGTGGCCGACGAAGCTCTGCAGCCAGCAAAAGGTGCAGTCGGGCGGGTTCATAAGGTCATAAGGGCGGGTTCATAAGTCATAATTAATAAATGGGCACTCGGCCTGCAGCCAGTAAAAGGTGCCGTCGGGCTGGGCGACGATGTTCCACACGTGCGCGTACCTGAAAAAAGAATTCGACGATGAAAAAGAATTCGATAAACAGAATTCGACGATGTTCCACACGTGCGCGTACCCCGCCTCGCCGCCCTCGGTCCCAACCCCGAGGCGGTAGACGTACCTACGGTGTGTGTGTGTCGCGCGCCTTGCGGCGGGGTGGGCGCGGAAAAGAGGAGCCTCTTAGTTCCATCGGCAGCGGTGGCCGGGCCAGGCTGCTCCGCAGCTCTAGCCGCGCCTCCTCGGTGTCTACCGTCTCCTGAGGCCAGCATCTCCTCGGCTGAATCTCGGCTGAATCTCGGCGAATCTCGACAAATCTCGGCCCGCCGCACCGCGGGTGCTTCCCGCGCGCCTCTCCGAGCGCGTGCATGGCCTTGAGCCAGCTCTCGAACCTATGAATCATACACCACGCATGCCCAGTACTTCTGTCACGGGGTGCTCGGCCTTGAGCCAGCTCGCGAACCTGTCGATCTCGCTCTCGCCGATGCCCTGCCCACCGATGACGGAGGGGGCCTAGAAAGAGAAAGCTCGCCCGCCCGTATTTCGTTTTTAGCTGCCGACGCCCCGCCCCCCGATGACGAGGGGTCCTTGGCCGCGTCCTCGGCAGAGTCGCGGTTGTGCGCCACGTCGAGGCCGCAAAAGTAGGCCTGTGAGGCATGTCTCGGACATGTCACGGACCTGTCCTGGAAGTGTCTCGCCACGCCGAGGCCGCAAAACAGCAGGCCGTCACAGCAAACTGCGTGCTGGTGCAGCGCGTGACCGCCATCGACTCGGCGCCGCCGACCTGCAGAGAGAGGCGGCCGTGACTCCATCTTAACCTTCGTGCGTTCGCACGCGCCGCCGCACACTGCAGAGACTCTCAGGGAGGCTCTGGGCCAGGCGCCGTGGGCCAAAGAGGCTGGTGGGCCGCCCGGTCTGGCTTCTGGGCCGGCCGTGCCCACACCTGGTTGTCGTCTGTGTCGAGCGGCTCCGGCTCATGGCCGTGCTCGCCTCCGATGTCTGCCGCCTCGACGTGCTCCCGGAACGACTTCTCGCGCAGCGAGAGGAAGCCTCCGCGCCACCACGGCGTCGTGCGTGTGTAACTGCACATCTTGCGAGTGAAGGACGGGTGACGCAGGATGTCGTCCCAGTGTCCGCCGAGCTTGACACTGGCGGCCGGGATCGCGCCGCCGTAGAAAGGGGAGGAGCGAGCCTTCAACAGCATCGCCACGAGGACTCCGGCAGCGAGAAGGGCTTTGTGGAGTCGCGACAGCGGAGGTCTGGGCGCCTGACGTGGTTGCGGATTGTTCGGCCGCCGTGGCGGCTGCGGTGGCCGCCGTGGCGCGTCTCCCGGCCGCAGGTCGGCGAGCGTGTGCACCACCATGGCGCCGACCACCCGGGCGAAAAGCAAGCCTCTCTAGCGCACACACACCCAGATCTAAGCCGAAATCGCCGGGCACGCCGGCGAGGTGACGGTAGATCACCTCTTGAGGTCTTGAGGATCACCTCCGCCAGACGATCTCTCCCGACGGGGACTGGTCTTAGGCCATTCCAACGGCCAGGCCGCTCGCTTAAGGCTGATTGGCTAGACGAGCGGTCTACCTCCAACGGGGCGGTCTGGCAACGCGTGGATCCGGCCCGCCTCGGCGGGTTACGGTTTAGCGCGACGACCGGGGGAGCTCTGATCGCCGTACTCACCGGGACGCTGGTGAGATGACGGTGGATCAAGGAAGGTACTGTTATGATAGTAATAGAGCAGTTTGGTCGGAGGGCGCCCGGGTCGCCCAAAAAGACGTAAACTTCTCTCCACGCGTCGTGGTGGGGCAAGGGGCCAAGCCCAACCCCTCGCCGACTCCAAGCAACCCACAAAGTCGGCGCGATGCTCGGCGGGGTCCAGGCGGAGACGGCGGGATTTTGAGCAGGACCCGCATTCAAACCATCGTGCCGGTCTTCGGGGCGAGCTCATCTTCCTTCGGGGAGCAAAAGGCCGGAAGCATGTAGGTCTGCCACGGGGAGAAAGCACCGGGGTGAATGATTAACCATAGGTGGGGCGGGGGGTCTGGGCGAGACCCAACCGCGAAGATGCCCACGACGAACGCATTGCAGCCAACGCCGACGCCGATTTTGCGGTGGAAATCTGAGATCATGTCGTCATCGACCGTGACGCCCGCCTTTTCCGTGCACATTCGTGCAATGGAGTTATGATGGCTCTTGATTTGATACGGCTCACACAAGGCCGCGCCTTCACGGAGTCGCTGAAGACAATGACGCAGTTGCAGACCAGCGACAAAGACGCGCACACGCAAACGATGGCCCACGCGTATTTTACCGGGATTGCAAAGCAGGGAGTCGCCTTCTCGTAATCGGCCGGCTTCAACGCTTGTGACGTCTGCGTGAAGTAACTATGCGGGAGAAGGGGAAGTGTGAAAATGCGGGTGTGGAAGGGCGAGATCCGGCGCACTTATCCGCACGAGCCACAGAGGGCCAACGGCAGCACCCATTGTAGCGGGATCGATGTGTACATCCTCCCTGGCGGGGGCAGAAGGTCTGGTTGGAAGCAGGAGGGCTAGAGCCGAGATCCAGCCATCCCCCACTCTCGGGTCAGAGTACACGTGCGCGACGAGAGACTTGGAGGGCCAGAGATCACATCTCGGCCTGCTTAAACTCACTAACGAATTGCTCGTCGAGTGTTGCGCCGGCCACTATGCCATCATCGCCAAAGATGGAGGTGAAATACTGCATCATAGCAATGACCAGCCAGGTTACCGCGAGGACCGTGAAGAGCTTCCATTTCGTGACCGTCGCGCCGCATATCGTCGTTGTCTCATAAGACGGCATGTTGGCGTTGTGCGCCCGACGGGGGGCGAACGTCCCTCGCCTGATGAATGCACCCCTATTACGCCCTATGAGCACTTCTGCACGGGATCGGGTCGATTCCGCATGCCTTACCGTACGGCCGCATGGTACGGAAAACGGATGTGTGTGTTCTCTAGGCCCCTAAAGGCCCTACGCGCCGTGTGAGACCCTCTGATTCTCTTTCTTCAACAAACCTGTGCCTCGTTCTGTGGTCGCCACACTCTTACTTCATCGATGCACAGAAGTATATATGTGAATGTCAGGGTGACCCCGCCGCCGCCGTCAAGCGCCTCCACCTCTGTCCGCGACCCGCAGGCCCAGCGCTCCCAGCCAGGGCGATGCCGACACAGACAGTCTTCACCGCAAAACTTCCCGATCAACATGTCGACAAAGTTGTCGAGCTCCTGCTGCTCGACTGCGCGGCGGAACCGGCCCCTTCTTTCTAAAAGTGTAAAAAAACAGAATTTTTTCATTCTTGGAGCACTTGGAGTGCAGTTATTAGCTCCCCCTCCTTCTTTTTTGTTTTGCGCGCTGCAAGTTCTTTTTTTCGACTGCCATCGCACCCCTTTGGGCTGGGCTGGGCTCAAAGCGACACAAAGACACAAACAGGCTCACAAGACACACAGCCAGCTGGCTGCCACACACCCTGAGTCGGCGTACACATAACTCAGGGCCACATCCTCCCTGTCGCCCCCCCCAGCACTCCACGGTGCCAAGAGAAACAAACAAGGGCACAGGTACACCACTCGATGAAAAGAAGCAGGCGTGCCGTCCTCCCATCCCTCCCTTGGTTTGTCTGTTTTCTTTCTTTCTTTCTTTAAGAAGCATTTTACTCGGAATTCTTTTCTTGCGCGACAAAAAACAAAAAGCTGTTTGTTTGCGCTGGAAGTCGATCACAAGCAGGTGCTTGCTGTCGATGCGCGAGGACACGACGCCCGCCGACACCGCCGCGCCGAAGCAGCCGGCCGCCGCCCTCCCCTCCGCCACCGATCTCGGCGTGAGCGAGAGGAAGCTGAAGCTGTGGTCGCTGGCGCAGTGGCGCAGGCTCGGCGGCGCCCTCGAGCCGGTCCTCGCGAGCGGCGCCGTCGCCCTCCTCGACGCGCAGTGGATCGTCAGCCACGCCGAGGCGGGCGGCGTCCTCACCCACCGCCAGGCGCTGCCCGAAGAGGCCTTCCTCTCCCTCTCCGACCTCGTCGAGGCGACGCGAACTGATTCCTTCCTTCCCGTCGCCGCGCTCTCCTACCCGTGGCTGACCAAGGACCACCCCGACCCGCGCGGAGCCAACCTCGCCCGCGTCGCAAGGGCGCTCAAGGCACTGCTCAACAATCCCGTAATCACGCGGCTCGGCGTCTTTTGGGACTTCGGCTCGCTGCACCAGCACCCCGACCCAGCCAACGGCGTCGTGCGCACCGAGGAGCAGAACGCGCTCTTCAAGCAGGGGCTGAGCTGCCTCGGCACTCTCTACTCACACGAGTACACTTGGGTGCTGCGGCTGACCTCCTTCCCGGACGGCCACAAGGCGGAGGACCAGGCCGAGGGCACCAACGTGGCCAAGTACTTTGACCGCGGCTGGTGCTTCACCGAGCAGAGCTGGGCGGGCCTGACAAAGGCCAGCTACCTCTCGCTCGACCTCGGCAAGATGCGCGTCGGCAAGCAGTACGACTACTCCAGCCTCCGAGCCGACTGCACCCAGGACGGCGGCCGGCGCCCTCCGCTGCTGCCGTCTGCGTTCGCGGCGGAGCTGGAGACGAAGAGCTTCACCAACGGCAAGGACGACAAGCCGCTAGTGAAGCGGCTGTACGAGGCCGCCTTCGAGGAGCAGTTTGGCAAGGCGACCGTGCTGAACTACGCCTACCTCGGCTGGGGCGACGCGGAGGCGGCGCAGCTGGCGGAGGTCCTCGCGAGCGGGGCAGCGCCGCGGCTCGAGAAGCTCTATCTCTACGGCAACAAGATTGGCGGCGAGGGCTGCATGGCGCTGGCTGCCGCCCTCGGCAAGGAGGGGGCAGCGCCGCGGCTCGATAAGCTCGATCTCTACGACAACAAGATCGGCGACGAGGGCTGCATGGCGCTGGCCGCCGCCCTCAAGGAGGGGGCAGCGCCGCGGCTCAACAGGCTCGATCTCCGCCGCAACGAGATTGGCGACGAGGGCTGCAAGGCGCTGGCCGCCGCCCTCAAGGAGGGGGCAGCCCCGAGCCTGAAGGCGCGAGACGCCACCCCTCGCCACTCGCCCCTCCCCCGCCCAATGCTCATCACACCTCCCCTCGCGTGCAGTTGCTCGTCGAGAACTTGAACCAGCCTGAGCTGGTGGCCGTGTGCGAGGAGCGCGGCATCAAGCTCTCCTCCTACTGAGCCTCTCCAGCCCCGGCCGGGCGGCAAGGGCGCGGGGCCCGGCGGGACCGCCGCGTGAGCACGGCAGAGAGCGACAAACCCTGCGGCTGCGAAGGAGCGGAGCACGACGCACAGCGACGGTGAGGGCGCGCGCGGGTTTGGCGGGATGGGGGAGGGGGAGGGGGAGGGGGGGGGGGGGGTTCTGTCGGCGCACGTGGGACAGGAGCGGGCCGCGGCGGGCGAGAGGGAGGGCCTGCGTCCACCGTCTCCAGACACTACAGAGCAGCCCCCCACCCCCACCCGCCCGAGCAATTTCTTTTCGTTCAACAAAAATTCTTTTCGCTGGCGGGTGGTTGGTGGCTGGGCTTAGTTGTTTGCCACACACACGCACCCCTTTGGGGTCACCCCCCCCCCACGATTTCTTTTCCTTGTTTCTCCGTTTTTGTTTTTAAAACCCAACTTATGTGGTTTTCTTTTTTCCGAGGTGTACCTGTGTCAGTGCCACTGCAAAGAAAGAAAGAAAGAAAGAAAACAGACAACCCAAGGGAGGGATGGGAGGACGGCACGCCGCCACCACACAGGGATTTTAAGGAGAGGAGTGTGATGCGCTAGCCGTCGCCCACCCTAGGGAGTCTGCCTCTTCCTATCTCTTTTCGCAGTCTCTCGCCGATTCTCGCTGCAACCTTCATGCCACCTCGCGGCCGTCCCATTCTCGTCGTTCTCTCCCTTGTCACTTCCTCCGTGCCACTGCGTTTTTTGCGACGTGGCCCAGAAAATTCTTTTTTCGACTGCCATCGGCTTGCTTACCATCTGGCAACGCCGCTGCTGTGTGGCACTGCTGCGCGCTGAGCAAGGATGATACACGCCTGTGTGACGCGGGCAAGAAACCTGCCGGACATGGACCGCTGGCCAAAGGGCCCAAAGCCCGACGCATACGCGAGGGTCCGTCTCGTCAATGATGACAGTGCGCTGCGGGCCCAGCATATACGCACTCGCGCCACGCATCCATACGTTATGGCCAAGAATCCCAAAGAATATCCTCACTCACGGTGCGGGAGCAGGACGGCAAATCACACCTCTTTCTCCTCTCGCAGACGAATGCAAGACGTCTCGCGTGGACGACGACACGTCGCCCGACTGGGGCCAGCTCTGCTGCAGCCTCGAGCCTAGCCTCCCGCTCAACCAGACGACCGTCAGCTTCGTCGTCGAGGCGCGCGAGCCGCCCGCCTGCCCTTCCCGCTGTGCTGCGCGCCGCTGTCTCACTGCCGCCTGCACCCGCCCGCCTCCCCGCTGCGCTGCAGGACTATGACCTCATCACGCACAACGAGGTGGGCGGAGAGAGCTTCAACCTCCCTCCCTCACCCCCTCCCCCTCCCTCCCTCCCTCCCTCCCTCTCCCTCCCTCCCTCACCCCCTCCCTCCCTCCCTCCCTCCCTCCCTCCCTCCCTCCCTCCCTCCCTCCCTCCCTCCCTCCCTCCCTCCCAACCCCTTCCCCCCGCCCCCCCCTTCCGCAGGTGATCGGCGAGTGCCGCCTTCCCGCCTCGCCCTTCGAGCAGGGGTGGTGCCCCCTCTCCGCCTCCTGCACCGGACCAGCCGCCGACTGCACCGGAGTCGCCCGCGGCGAGGTCTGGGTCAGCGTGGCGCTCCCCTCCACACATCAACCGCCCGCAGCTCCACCGTCGGACTCCCCGCAAGAGCCGTCTCCGCCGCCGCCCCCGCCGCCGCTATCGCCGCCGCTATCGCCGCCGCTGTCGCCGCTGCTGTCGCCGCTGCTGTCGCCGCTGCTGTCGCCGCTGCCGCCGCCCTCGCCGCTGCCGCCGCCGCCCGCGCCATCGGCAGAATCGGCAGCGTCGCCGCCGTCTCTGCCGCAGGGAGCGCAAGGAGCGGCGCTGGAGGCAGAGAGCCTCATTACGCGCGCCGGAGGCGGCGGCGGGAGCGGTGCTGGAGGCGGCGGGAGCGGTGCTGGAGGCGGCGGGAGCGGTGCTGGAGGCGGCGGGAGCGGCGCGGCGACGGCGGTCGGCGTCGCCCTCGGCGTCGCCCTCGCTGTAGCCGCGGCTGGGCTGCTCGTGCGGGCGCGGAAGCGGCGGTGTGCTGTTGCGACTGCTCTGACTGCTAGGAATACTGTAGTAGTGGTAGTGTGGTGGTAGCAGCAGGCTGCTCGTGCGGGCGCGGAAGCGGCGGTGAGCCAGACAGCAGCGACAACATCACAACTCTCACTCATTGGTAGTCAACGCCGGTCAGGAATACAAGATAATATAATGTGAGGTCAGGCGGGCCCTCCATTATAATATAATAGAATATCATGTGCGATAGCATAGAGTCTGCC